ACACACACACACACACACACACACACACACACACACACACACACACAAACACTCATTCACACACACTTCATGCATATACATATACACGGACATGCACTCACACAAAGTAACACATACGTTAAATTAGTCTTAGTTTATTAAGGTTAATGTAAGAGCAATGTTTAATTATTAATTGTAAAGAAGAGCGATGTTTCCTAACACAGGCCTTATCAAGCTTAAAAGGAAACATCAGCCCCTGAATTATGCCATGTACAGTGAAGTAATAAAATATTTTTATTTTTATTTTATTTTTATCTTCACTGGTAAGCCCGCTGCATACGCAGTCCGCAGCATACGCGAGCCTATCGATGTTAGTACTGCTAGACTACTTTACTTTATTTACTTCCATAGTATAATGTCCTACGGGATTCTCATGTGAGTTAAAGCGATAGACATGCAAACCATATTTGTATCGCTAAAATGAGCGATTCGTACTGTGTACCGATTAGGTTCTCGGGTTTCTCTCAGAGAAAAGTTTAAGGAGACACTTTTTATGCCCGTAAAAATATACATAATTTCAATTATGAAAGAAGATACCCACAACATTAAACTTAGAGCTAAGTCCAAACTCATGGTACCACGATTTCGTTTAACCAAGTTAAACAATTCTTTTATGGGGAACTGTATACGTATTTACAATAAGATTCCGGAGCATATATTAAGATTATCATTTCCTAAGTTTAAAAACTACATTAAAAATATTTTGATTGAAAAGTCATATTACAAAATTTAAGACTATATTTTAGATAAAGATATATGTATGGGAAGACGGCATGGCTCTAGATTCCTGACAAATTTGATTCGTTTATTTGAAAAGAACAATCCCTAGAGTTTCTTGCCAATTTTTCTCAGGGAAGTTGTGTAGTGAACAGTAGCTTAAATGTGGGGTTTTTAAGAGTAAATTAATTTTACCTTTGGAATAAACGATTTTGACTTACGAAACTAAAAAAAATATGCAGTATATTTTGAATAATTGCTGCTAGATAGTTCTATCTTCTTTTTACTTAAAAGCTAGATTCCTGCCGGCGGTGTCATTATTAAGTTTTAGTTTAGTTTTTAGTTAGTAAGTTGATGATGATTGGTTTTTTTAAATTGTACATTTTTTCTATTTCAGTACGACAATGAGGAAAAATCGGAAGCTACTTACGGGTAGTGTTGTAACTTGAAAAAAACCAAATGTTTTTTTTTCACATTTTTGAGAAAAAAAAAAACATGAAAAAAACACAGCGCCCTTGGTTTTTCTAAATTTTGTTTTTTTTCCGAAAAAGTAAAATGAAATAACTAAAATACAATAAGATACTAACTTTTATAATATATATATATATATATAACATGTTTATTAAAATCAATTACCATGATAATTACAATGCTAATTATTCAAAATCCCCAAATTTAAAGAGAGCAAAGTTCAGACTCTCCATATACTAATAATATTTGTTAATTCTCTGTATTTATTATGTTATATTATTATGGCTTAAAATATATCAAAGAATTAAGAAAGTCTAAATCTGCAATAAGTTATACTAAAATTAGAAATAGTAAAAGAGTTAAGTTTAGACCTAAATTTAATATTTAGGCTTGACGAGTGGCAAGTTGTGATGTTAAAGTACCAACTGCTCGGCTTTGTTTGGCAATAGCTGATTTCGTTTTTTTCATACCGGTGACCGACCTAATTTAAACGGGAGGAAGAGGGTCGTGGACTCAAGACGCACCGACTGATAATAGTGGTTTTTAAATTTTTTAATTTAACAATTCTGGACAAAGTGCTTCAAATCCTATCGAATAATTTTATATAAGCGACTTGCTAATAATTCTATGTAAATGTGCTATACATGGGATATGTTGCGATGTGGAAAAAATTATACCCAAACTCACGAGATAAATATGTAAATGTAGGCCATACAAACATTTCTCCCGGCCCGGGAATCAAACCCGGAACCTCTGCATGCCAGTCCAGCATGGTAACCGTTCGGTCACGGAGGCAGTTAAAGTTGTTTATTAGACAATAAGTTAAAATATATAGGTAAGGTACAATAAAGGCTAATAATAGACACTGAAACTGAAATTAAATTATATGAATAAAATTTAAGATTCTGGGAATGTTCATGAAAAGTATAGATAACGTTGGACAAGGTTTTGACACCGGCCCTTGGGTTTCCCAGACAGTACAAATATACATATACTTTGTTTACATAGGCCGCACTATAAGTTTCCGGAACTGGCCACTTACAAAAACAATATTTAAAAAGTAATTACAACATTTGAAAATGGAACTCTTTGGCTGTAGAATACAGTTTGTTTCATCTGACTGTCATTTGTTTATACATTGTGGCGTCATTTTCGAAATTGGTTGTCTACATCACCATGGATTTAACTCGTGAAAATTTTCGTAGTATGATTTTCTACGACTTTAAATGTAATTTAACAGCTCAGCGGAGCTTTGCTCGGCCTCAAACTGCTTTTGGCGATGAAGCACCATGCAAGACGACTATTTATAGCTGGTTTGCAGAATTGAAACGCGGTCGTGTGAATCTCAGTGACGAATTTCGTGATGGTCGCTCGTGCACTGATGTAAACAACAAAAACATCGATGCTGTACGCCGTATGATCAAAACAGACAGGCCATGAGATTCGAGCATCTTTAGGCATAGACATGAGTAAAATACAATCAATACTACATTTGTTTGCCGGAAGTTATTGACAAACTCCGTAAAAATAACCGTAAACTCCGTATCATTTTGCACCACGGTAATGCCAGTTCTCACAAGGCCAGACAGACAAATGAATTTTTGAAGGTGAACGTTGACCTTATGAGCCATCCCGCGTACAGTCCTGACCTGGCACTTTGTGACTTCTATTTATTTCCAAAAATTAAGAACCAGTTACGTGGTCAACGATTTTCATCACCTGAAGAGGCTGTCGAAGTGTATGAAAAATATGTTTCAGAGATTGTCACGGAGGAGTGGCATACATGTTTTCAAAATTGCTTCATATGTATGAAAAAGTGCACTAACCCGAACGGAGAATATTTTGAGAAATAATAAATTCATTTCTGACCATTTATAGTATTTTTTTCTTATTCATTCCGGAAACTTATAGTGCGCCCCACGTATTGTGTTAACCTTATTTATTTATGTAGAAGTTTTAACCTTACCACAGAGCTTTTGTTTTGTTTCCTGGATTCAAATTTGTTCCGCAATGGGAGACCTGGTGTCTCATATAACACAGTGTTTTATTACAGGATACACTGTATTTTATGTACTTAGATATAAGTTTCACTGTGGAAAAGAATAAATACACTGTATTTTATGTACTTAGATATAAGTTTCACAGTGGAAAAGAATAAATACATTATTATTATTAATTAAATTAATATTTAAAAATCGTGTACTACGCTGCCAGCGTTCCTCCTTTGTATAACTATGCTAATGCGTTGGGTAAGGTAGCAGCCGGCCCTTGGGTTTCACACGCAGTCTATTAACTTTTTGGATAAAATTTTGTACTGGTAAAGGGCACCAGGACTCCTCAAACGGAGCGTTTTGACTCCAAAGGGTGCAAATAAATAGTCGGAGCCGAGGTCTTGGTACTTATTGCTCTTTATTCTTTCCGCCACGCCAGCTCAATTGCGGAGCCAGGCCTCTATTGGTGCATTGGAGATGAGATGGGGCAAGTGTGTCGGCAAACGTGCTGTCCCACATCATTTTAATTGTATTTCAGAGTTCAATGCTTGACACATATTTATCTCTGTAAAATATAATGATCTGCACACAGGTTGACGATAGAAAACTTAGTAGTTCTATGTAGCAAATTTTTGTGCGAAGACATGCGGCCATCCAATTTATGGTCAAGAACTTCACATAAAATATGAATAATTAATTGACTAAGCACTAGGAATCATAATTTGATTAGAAAATAAACACACCTGCTGAGTTCTTTGAATTTTAATTTACCAAGTCACTAATACAGGCATCAAGACAAATAATTACCAATTATTTATGTAATATAAATTCGTTGGTATATTTTATTCTTATTATTGTTGACATTAAATTGGACGTAGTTAAGCAAAAAGGATCCAATCCACAAAATTATCAAAAAATGTGTTATATGTACCAAACGGTTCCTAAAGTCTAACCTCTTAGATCAGCAAAAAATCTAACATATAAATAAAAATACATATCTCTGGAGTTACATGACACTAAA